TTGCCATATATTCGGCTTCTGTTGTTGAAAGTGCATACCTGCGTATCTGTAACTTCCATGAAGAAGTTCACTTTAAGTACCTTAAGATTCGTTTTATGCCAGTCCAATGATCCATCCCTGGATTGTTGTTAAATCTACTCAGATTACTGACATCATATGCGATATCAGACCTGATAAAGACCTGATATCCAAAAGACCCGCAAACAAAAGAATACCAATAGCTTCGAGATAAGGAATTGGTCTCATCTTCTCCTTTTCAACTTCATTTTTCGGCATCTGAGCTTTAGTAAATTTATCACTGTAGCTTATTGGAGTTGATACTGGGTGGCACTGGTCCATTCTGAAATGTGTCAGCATCTTGTTGATGTACGTTTCTTGGCTTAACCATATCTTCTTCTCCTTTCTGTCCCTGGTCAGTTTAAATCCAAAGACAGATTTTGCTTCACCAAAATCTTTCATTTTAAAAGACTTTATCATCTGAGTTTTCATCTCATGTTTAAGTTTCTGATTGTTAGAGAATATTAAAATATCATCAACCTAAACTGCGAGTAAAAACAGTACACCTTCAATTTGATAATAAACACAACGGTTGAATTTGGATTGTTTCAGTCCCAGACCTTGTAGATAAGAATCGGGGCTAGAGATATACAAGGGCTAGGCCACGCGAGCTCAGAAAGTGATGCCAGGTGGCTCCCCACCACTCCGCCGCTGTGACGTCACGGCGATACCTCGCGCTCCCGGCACCGTATAACATTGCCTGTGTGAGCGCTGGTATTACCGCACATTTAGCGTTTATTAAGCTCTATGTTGGAAATTTTTTTTATGCATTAATGTATTTTATAAAAGTAATTGATTTTAAAATAGGATTACGTATAACATCAATTTTAATAAGTAACAAATTAACTTTAGTAGATATTTAAGGATGGGAGTGGAATGTAAAGCGATGGCTAAAAATAGGTACTGTAGTTATTGATTCAATGCATTAAGTTACTGTGTAATATCTGTGTCCGTATTGCTCGAATTGCTTAATGTATGGATTATTAATTGTATTTATTTATTACTTATTCATACCTTTTAGGATTCATTGAGGTTATATAAAATACATTGAGGTTGTATAAAAATACATTACCTATACTTAGTATTTTGTAACTTTTACAGGAAGGAAAAGAATTTCAATTAATCAATTACATTTTATTATAGGCCCTACATATTTCAATACATTAAAATAACATCTAGTTGCAAAAATACATTAGGTTGCCTGACTAACTAATCTCAATGTCTGTTGACCAATAACTAACAAGTCGAGTTTTGGTGTGATTTTACTTTATCAGTTTACATCGTGATTATAAGTTGTAAATGTTTAGTTACGATATTATTTATTGTTCCTCGACTGTAATGTGACATTACTTTTAGAAACTTGAGACACTATTTTTTATCCAGTTTTTGTGAACTTCATTGACTGTTTACCAACAACGAATATCGCGGGTTTGACTTTATCACTTTAATCGTATTTATTAGTTGTAAAAATTGCACTTATTTAGTTTATAAACTGTTTTATGTTGATATACTTACTTAACTTGAGGTCTGGGACATTACATTTAGCCCGTTTTTAAAAAAATTTCGTCATAATTAACAAACGATTTAATCGCCAAATGAAAAAGGCACAGCAGCATTTTATAGAAAAAACTAAATTATTTATTTTTGTATATTTGCCTTTATAACTATGTATATTCATGTAGGGGAATAAGTTTACTTTCATTTTATATAGTTGGTTTGTGGGGTTTTAAAAATAATATATACGTGTGAATAACAAAATGTTTTTCTAGACAAATATAAACATTTATTAAAAGTCATAAACATCTATTGAAATGATCAGTATACATAATCAATTCCAAACAATTTGTATATCTTATGAAACATTTTTGGTTCATGCAGCAATTTTTCTACCTACTGACAATATTTTCTACAGTATTTTTAATATTTATTTTGTTGCCATTTTCAAATTCTTCATTTCATTACGAACACTTCAAGCCGGAAATAATAGATACGGTTCATAGGTTTGATCTGGGGCCCATTTCATAGTAACTTGTAATTTCCATTAGATTTGCATTGGGCGATCAGCTGATTTACTAATAATGTTAGTTTGTACTTTATTATGAAATGGGCCCCTGTTGGATTAGTTTATATGAATTTTCGAAAATATGACTGCAAAATCGCCAAAAATGCCTTGCCACCACAGTGTTTGCCCATTGCAAGTTGGAGGGTTAACGAAACCCGCTTTAAAAATCACACTATAAAACTACATTATTATAAACACAATTATTAATATGCCGTGCTAGGCTACCGTCGCGCCTCGCGCCGATGTATCTCCGCTACGTCACTGAGGAGGGGCGGGGGAGGGGAAGTAGGATCAGGCGGCGACCGCTAACATCAAAGGAGTGAGCCAGCCCTTGTATATCTATAGCCCTGGATCAGAATCAAGTTTTTGGTTCCACACCCTGCTGGCTTGCTTGAGGCCATATATACTTTTATGAAGGCAGCAAATTCTAAAAGTTCCGTCTTCATATCCAGGCGACTGGCACATGTATATCTATTCTTCAAGTTCTCCCTGCAGAAAAACGGAAACAGTAACGCTAATCGAACTGTAACGCCCAACCAGTGAAAATGTTTCATCATAATCTATTCCTCTCCTTTGGTCGAATCCTTTAACAACTAGTCGTGCCTTATGACAAGTTACCTGTCCCTTGTCATTTTCCTTTTGATTTAGGGATGAACGGGATTGAATTTTTAGTTCGGGGCGGGATTTTTATTTCCTTCCCAATTTCCGGGACCGGACGGGATGGGATTTTTTTCTGTGCATAAAAAGAAAGTCTTGAGTATTGCAGCTACCAAAAAATACATACAAAATCAATTTTTACCGTTTGTCGCACTGATCTATAAAAAAAACCAAAAAATGGGTAACAATTACAGGTACCTATAGAAACTTGTGACTCGCGGTCGAAATAACTGGCGGTCACGGTGTGATCGTCAAAATGACCGCGGTCACGGGGTGATCGTAGGGATGACTCGCGGTCACGGGGTGATCCTCGGTATGACTCGCGGTCACGGCATGATCGTCGGTATGACTCACGGTCACGGCGCGATCGTCGGTATGACTCCGCGGTCACAGCGTGATTGTCGGTATGACTCGACCTGACAAATTTGGCCGTCTTTGTCGATAGTGCCGTTGTAACAGCTAAAATGGCGGTAAACGATCTTTGTGACAACAGTGCACCACAAAAACTATGATATTCATTGTTAAAATAATTTTTATTAGCATGAATAATAAGTTTATAGGTGTTAGCGACCTGACAGACAATAAACATAACAACAACACTTAGCTCAATCGATATTATTTGGCGATTAAATGGAAAATGAAATCCGGACAAATACTGCATAGTCCACTCTATCCATTCATAACCATCCCATAACCGCCATATATCGCCCCCGAACCCGCAATAGCAAACAATAGTCTCCTCCTTCCTTTTCCCCCCAGCTTCATATGGTTCACTACGGCTACAGTCATGGCGACACTGATGGCTGTGGCAGGACTCTAGGAGTGCTAGCGGTGATTATGGCGGCAAATTCAAATTGCCATTAATACTTGGCGTTTTACCTAAAAGTATAAAAGTTAATAAAAACTAAGTATAAAGCATAAAAGTTTATTTATTTTATTTTTTTTTTCATAAACTGCTTCAAGTTTCTCTATGATGTCTTGGGGATAGATAGCGACCTGACAAAAACGGCTTTCAAATATTGTTTTAAATATTAATATATGATAAATCCTTTCATAAATTGTATTAATTATGTTATTTATACATGGAACAATTAAATAAAAATAAGTTTTGGGTTTTTTTTTAATTTATTTATAGATTTTTTTTTGCTGGGACATAAATTCTCTCTCAATTTGATATTTACCCTTATGTGTTTAAAACTTTCAGTTATTGTGTTGGTTGGAAAAAAGTTACCAGTTGTGTGGCAAACCCATAAGACCCAGGTTAATGTGTTTATTTTTGAGCTTATTTTAATTTGTAAAGGGATTCTGCACATTAGCAGGAAAATATCTTTCTAACAATATGCGTAGATTTCCCCTGCGATGCTCATGAGCTGAGAAAAAAGGTTTTAAAGAAACATGTTTGCCTATTAATATATAGATTAAATAGCGTGTTACTAAAAGTATTGTAGCAAAAAAAGTTCATATTATCTGAACTTATTACTTGTTTTTCCATTTAAAGAGAATTATAATGGAGAATTATAACTCCCAATTAACCTGGGACCTGTTCTAGGAAAATAACTAAAATTAAATGCATACAGACGGTCTTAATTAGCAACACAAGTCAATGTTTTTAAACTGTTAGTCAATTTTTTTTCAACTGCAGGCTATTTTTCTCGGAAGGAAGGCAGTAGGATGTAAACAAACTATAAATCATTGTCTCCAGCAGTGCCCTGGTATTTTCAAGGTCATACACCCACCCCTCTTACACCACCCACTTGCAATATATGTTGCAGACAAAATTGTGCAACGATACAAGAAAGTCGTCAAAAATAGATACTTCTCTGTTCTAAAATAGAAAGATGTTACAGATTATTTTTAAAGAAATTAATTCACAGTAGTTTGTGACTAAAAGACAAATCAAAGCGCTATTTTAAGTTAAATTTAAAATACAACTAAAAGGGTATTTAATTAACAAAGTGATTTACTCGCTGGATGACTTTCTCAACCTCCCTCATAAATAAACCAATATAAATGTATCATTAGAATAATAATTGATTGACACTATTTAATTGTACTATGTTCTTGAATGAATAAAGAATATTGCCTATTGTCTATTGTGTCTTGTAAATATTTTATTTAATCTTAAAGACTGTACATCTTCTTTGTATTTACATGTGTCAGTTTAATGAATTAGCAAATGAAGTACAAAAATGTTTTTAATTGTAAAACAAATTTTTCCTGTCAGGTGGGTATAGAGTTCATGGACTTGTACTCTCACCTGGTGCCTGTGTATGATGTTGAGCCACTAGAGAAGATCACAGATGCCTACCTTGACCAGTACCTTTGGTATGAGGCGGACAAGAGGAGACTGTTCCCACCATGGGTCAAACCCTCTGACACTGAACCACCACCCCTGCTCGTCTACAAGTGGTGTCAAGGTATATACATTATAGTTTGTTATTATATTGATTTTTTGTGTTGACTTTATGGACTACAAGTTGTAAAATGCCTGTTACTTTCTAGCAGGATCCAAGCATTTGTTTTATTTTGCAACATGGAACAGTAAAATGCGACAATTGTTGGACTGCCAAACGCGTTTCTGCTAAAGGTGTGCGGATATCCGAAAATTCTGGTTGAATTTGGTTGGGTTCGGCGAATTGTACCCAAATTTGATACCCGACACTATCTGTTATATAAAACTTTTTTTGGATAAACTGTTTTAGACTGAAAACAAAATATTCACAAGTTAATCATCATTAGATAGTTTTCACTTTCCAAGGACGTTATTTCAACTTTACGTTTCCATCGAGTCTGTGAGGAAGTTTCCTCCAGGACCCTAGACCTTATCAAGGGTGGTAATGGTTTGTAAGTGAAAGACTGAAGTTTCTTACACCTGCGTTTATTCCACGTTCTATATCCCTTAATACAGGTTTTCTATTCACAATTCTATATCCAATTTTGACCCTGGGTCAAGTAAAATCCTAGGTAAAAAGTATCACAGTACAAGAATTCCTATTACATAACAAATGCGATGAAAATGCTACATTTTTTTTTACAAGACTTTGTAGCAGGAGTTTGTAGCATTTTTGTTTCAAGAATATTTTCCCCAGCTTAAACCCTGTTTCTTAGTTAAAATTATAATACTCATCTTTTTCAGGCATAAACAATTTACAAGATGTTTGGGACGTCAGTGAAGCAGAGTGCAATGTATTGCTTGAATCTAAGTTTGAGAAGATTTATGAGAAGATCGATTTGACTCTCCTCAACAGATTGTTGCGTCTCATCGTGGATCACAACATTGCTGACTACATGACAGCAAAGAACAACGTAGTCATCAATTACAAGGTATGTTTGTTTGAAAAAGGTTATGTTATGATGAGTAGTTTAAATTTGTCGTAAATTTGGATGTGCACTCATGGTTGTATTGACACAAAATTTTGGTTGTATTCTTGTAAATTTTCTAACTTAGTGGGCTATTAGAAAATCAAAGAAAATAACATTTACACTGTCAGTGTGTAAATTGAAGCTGAAGAGGATTAAAAAGTTATTTATTTCGTATTTGTGTTGTAGGACATGAACCACACTAACAGTTATGGCATCATCCGAGGGCTGCAGTTTGCCTCGTTCATTGTTCAGTACTATGGCTTGGTGCTGGACCTGCTGGTACTGGGTCTACAGAGGGCCTCAGAGATGGCTGGACCACCGCAGATGCCCAATGACTTCCTTACCTTCCAGGACGTTGGAACTGAGACAGCTCACCCCATCCGTCTCTACTGCCGCTACATCGATAGAATACACATCTTCTTCAGGTATTTGTAATTTACCATTTGAAACTAATGTTTAGTTAATTTCCCATATCGGGAACAAGCTATTACCGTAGCTCTCATGGTAAGACCTACGATGGTTGTAGATCCAGGACTGATTTACTTAGTCGTTTCTATGTCCCCAGAGGCCAAAAACACCATCCGTTCAAATTCATCCGATTTTGATAAAATTTTATACAAACGTGTCAGTGGCGTAGATAAGACCATTGTCAAGGGTGGGGGGGGGGGGGGTATGGAATACCCTTCAGGAAGAAGAAAGGGGGGTCAGGGGGTCCTCCGAAAAATCGGGTCGGATTCAGTTCGGTTTGGATACAGATATCAAATGTATTTGTATTTTGAAAACAATTGTTTTGTAATCCGATAAAACAACTCATAAAGAAGTATAAATACATACATAAAGATAATGATAACATCACTCGTAAAAAGGATATAAAGAGAACAACTTAATCATAAACACGTAATTATTCTTCCTCTTTGTTCTTCTATTCTTTCTTGTGTTTCCCTTCATCCACGCATTCAACAAGTCGCCATTGTTACTAATCACCCCATCAGAGACTAGGACTAGACTACTAAATTATGTCGTTATCAGCTTTTGTGATATAGTGCACAGCAGGAGCAGTTGCTATCGCAAGCGTGACTTGACCTCAGGCTGCTTCAATTTTAATTTCATCAAATGAACTGTGATGTTTCAAAAACAATAATTTGTTAGGGATGGACGGGATTGAATTTTTTGTTCGGGACGGGGCGGGATTTTTATTTCCTTTGCCGATTTTCGGGACGGGAAGCTACTGGATTTTTTCCTGTGCATAAAAAGGGTTTGTTTTAAAAGACTTGGGGATTGCAGTTACCAAATAAGAGAAACAAAATCAATTTTTACCGTTTGTGGTGCTTAAGGCGGCCTCCAACACGAATCAATCCATTTTTGTCTAAGAAGGGGGAGAGTGACGCAAGACGGGAAGAGCAATGTTTTCCAGCTTTCAAACTAGAAATATCTTCAGAATGAACTGTTTGTTGAATCATTTTACAGATAGTGATCGTTGCTTTATCAAGCTCCTCAAGCTTTAGAAATACGGATTCTTTATCCTGGTTTGTTAAGTTATTTTTGAAGCGTAGAATGTAAGCGATGACTCGCTAGAGGGTTGACCAAGATGAAAACCTATTGAAAAAATCAGGTTTTTTTTGTAACCAAGGGGTTTGGCCTTAAGTACTGCCAATTGTTAATAGGCCATGATTCCTGATCCTGAGATAACCAATCGGGACCGTGCCACAATAAACGGTTGTCTTCTATAGAAATGGGAACGGTTCCTCTACTGGCAATGTCAGCTGAAATAATACTTCGAACAATATCAGTAAAAGAATTTAAAAACTTAACATATTTCAGAAAGGATTTTCACCTATTACCCTGACCCCCCCGCTATCTAGACCTCTGAAACGAAAACCTACATTTATTTGAACTAGTTTGTGAACCAACATGATCAGACTATGGGAACAGGTTGTTATTGGGTAAAAGTTGGGTTTTCCCATTTTTGAACTTACAATTAATTATGCGATTTCTTTCCAAAGTATGTATCTTGTATAGCTTACAAACAAATAATTTTGTGTATTAAGGTGATGTTATACGCATAATGGTTATGAAAAAATCCAAAAAAACTATAAATTTAAAATATCAATGCTATTTTATGGGGAATAAAATCTATTTATACAAACCGTTATAGTTTGCTTGTTTGGATAAATTTGGCATTTTTTCTATTTTATACTAGGCTATTTAACATTTTATAAGAAACCCACTTAGTATCTTTCCTATAGCGCAACCTCAGTATTTATGAAAATGAATTTAATTTTAGAAGAAAATAAATCTGACAAATTTAAGGGAATATTTTTTTGAAAAACCAACCAGGTAAATGAAAATTTGTTTAGTTTGTAGGGGTGCTGCAGGGGGGAATTTCAAATTATTCAAAATACTATCTTTTTTTATACCTGAAGACCTTTTTTCCTTTCATATGGATAAGCTTGTTACTCCTAATACCGTTACTAATTACTTTTTAATAGATTAAGTTATGGAGTAATCATAATGAATTGGTTTTGCCACAGCGAATTCAACCAACATCAACTTTTTCACCAATAGATTAAGAAATTATCTCATCAGGATCCAGATAGTACTGGACATAAACTCTAGTTATTGAATAGATTTCATCAACATCTCTAGAAGAATCGACTGCGATTTGTAGCGCCCCAGCAGTAAGTAGGTAAGTAAGTAAGTTATGGAGTTCATTGAAATCAACTGTTAATTTAATTTAAAGCTAGCTCAAAGTTATGGTTCTGGTCAGGTTTTCAGCTGAGGAGGCCAGAGACCTTATCCAGCGATATCTAACTGAGCATCCAGATCCCAACAACGAGAACATTGTCGGCTACAATAACAAGAAGTGCTGGCCTCGAGATGCTCGAATGCGTCTTATGAAGCATGACGTCAACCTGTGAGTCTCATAACCTTTCTGACTTGGCAAAACTTGTAACTGGTAATTTAAAAAAAATGTGTAAGGACAGTGTTGTAAGAAAGACTTAGTAAACCAAAAGTATGGCTTTTATTCATTCAAAATTACAACCATGTTTTAGTTAAGAACAAATACAATATTTACAAACAAATCAAATAATAAATATTATCAGGTGATAATGTTCACATCACCACATTCTCCCCCACTATTTTTAAAGGTAGGTATAGCATATGTAATCCTTTAGATATGACGGAAGCTTGACATTCCTCCTTGGACGTAGTTCCCCCACAGCCGTCTCTGAAGTTGGGGTCCGAGATACCGTTTGTCGAGTTTCATTTTGAACTGGTCAATGTCCGAATTTATATTTTCAACATTCTCTCTCTCGGTAGTGTTGTCTTCAGGAGGTAGATCACCAGGAGGTAGGCCAGCGGGTGCAAGATGTCTCAGGGATACTTGTGATTCTGACCCATCTCTTCTTCTGACGAGAGCGTACTGTGGATTTGATTCCAAAAGTTGAACTGGCTCCACAAGGTCAAAATATTTATTAGATCTTACAAACTTTCTAAGCAGGACAGGACCAGGAGCAGATAGCCAAGATGGTAAGGAGTCTCCATTGGTAGTTCTTCTGCTATGTTTAAAGAATCTTTCGTGCGGTGTGCAGTTTGTCACAGTGCATAAACGAGATCTGACTGAGTGAAGAGCCTCCTGTAATACTTCTTCCCATGCAGCAACTGGCAGGTTGTGGGTTTTCAAAGCTAGTAGGATGGCTCGCCATATTGTTCCATTGAAGTGTTCAATCTGAGAGTTCCCTCTAGGGTTATAAGTAGGGGTCTGCGGGTCCCCGATTTTTTCGGGTCGGGTCGGGCCAGCGGAAGGCCCGAGAGACCGGGTCGGGTCAGAGATTTGTTCGGGCCAAGATCGGGTCGGGCCAAAAAAAATAATTATTAGGCTATTTTTAAAGTTATAATAAGTAATTTTCAAAGAAACACTCTTATATACATTTTTACAGAGGAATTAAAATGTTAAAATTAGAATTAAATATTAAGTTTGCTCACGTTTATGAACAAAGACACAACAGAGCAATTATTGCCTTACTGTCACTAGCCAGAGCCAGTCGTCTACTGACAAAACAAAAGCCGTGACGCAACAGTGCAAAGAAAACGAAGTCAAAAGAAAGACTATTTATCCAGAGGTACCAGTTTAATTATTTATTGTTTATTCCATACCTAGTTTAAATTATATTTTAGTATTTTATTTACATAATAAATTATAAACAAAAGAAATATCTGATATAGTGTACAGATCTGTATCTTGTTCTTTTATTTTCCTATTGTCCTTTTTGCCATTCAGTAACAAAACAAAACAACACTTCTGATCGTCTGGTTCGGCATTTTATGGTCACCATTTAATTTTTTTTTTAAAGTATCAAGTATCAACAAGTCTACAAAGAGGTTAGGCCTAAATATTTTATAATTTTATGAAAGTTTTCATCAGTAAAATTATTTTTTTCTTAAGTTAGATTGAGTTTCAAAAGAGATATTTCTAAGATCCAATACAATATTTACAAGACACAAACTACCATGAATTAATTTCTTTGGAAATTATCTGTAACAGTTTTATATTTTTGAATAAAGAAAATATATATTTTTTTGTCTCTACTTCCTTGTTTTGTTACTTGTATTTTGTCAGCAATTGGAACAACCGGGTGGTGTAATAGGGGCGGGAGAGGGGGAGGGTCTATGACCTTGAGTGTCCCCGGGCCTGGCTCGGGTTGTGTAAGAGGGGAGGGGAGGGGGAGGGTCTGTAACCTTGAGTGTCCCCGGGCCCGGCTGTGAGAGTGATTCATGGTTTTTTGTTTACATTCTACTACCCTTCCTTCCGAGAAAAAGACCCTACAGTTTCAAAAACATTGACTTACAGTATAAAAACATTGAGTTGTGTTGCTAATTAGGGCACTATAATGTCTCTGCTGTCTGCTTATGTTGCCAAATTAGCATTTAACTTTCTTTTCTCTTGATTTAATATAACTTTCTATATTAAGAGTTCCTTTTCAAGTACTGTACCTAATAATTGTGATATTGTTTGAATTGAGTTTATGGATTTTTAATTCTTTTCATTTATTAGCTAAAATCAGTTGTTTTAGGATTTTAATCTCTTGCAATACCTATAACTGTGCCTATAACTGTGTATCTATAACTGTGTATGACATGATATGCAATTTTTACAGTCTTTACTTTACTATAACTATACCATAAACAATGTATGTGTGTTATTTATTGTTTTAGAGTTTTATAGTAAATTAGTTAACACAATATCTTTTCTTCAATGAGTTCTCCACTTGTCATGTTGCTTAGTCTATTACTATTTTAGGCCCTATAAAAAATAATTCCAATGTAAAGCTGTAGGCCTACTAATGCCAATAATAGATAATTCTTTATTTATGATGATGTAACTAATAATGCTATTGTAAGTGTGAGGTTTTTGTACTTAGGAGGTTAGGAGGCAGGGAATGAATGATTCATATTGCATCGTGGAAACATAGAATTTTTATTTTCTTCTTGCTTGCAGTCTTGAAGCCAGTCCACAGGCCCTAAACTTGTGATAAGGTTAATTGATTTGTTTATGATCCATTTATATTAAGTTCCATTACAAACTTGTTGTAATATAGCTGTTTAGATATTTCAACAGTTATGAAAATAGGAAAGAATGGCTTGATAAAAAAAACTATTTTCTTCTTTCTTGCAGTTGAGGCAACTCCTAAGCTGTAAATAAGTTATGAACATGAAATAATATACATAAATACAATCTTTTTCCATATGTTATTTTTAAGTAATATTATAAACACAGATAGGAGTTAAAAAAAGAAAAAAAATCCGGTAATTAATAATTTTTGGCCCGACCCGATTTTGGCCCGAAACCCGAGGACCAAAATTATCGGCCCGACCCGACCCGACCCGAACCAAAAAAGTCTGACCCGCAGACCCCTAGTTATAAGGTGTCGTTGTCGTATGACTTGTAGCTACTCCGTACTTGTGAAGAAAGTCCGTCAGCTCGCGCGACATAGAAGATGAACCTCTATCTGAATGTACAAAGGACGGGGCTCCAAACATAAAAAAATAGATCTGAAAAACTTTTGATAACTGTTGTTGAACTAATGTCCTTACAGGGGTAAGCAAATACAAAACGAGAATACTCATCCACCATGGTTAAAAGGTAACGGTTTCTGGTTGTTGATGGTCGAACACTGCATTTTAGCTGTGGAACAGTTTTTTTTTTTCTTTCAGAAACAGTGAATTTTTTTTTTCACACGTAACGGCTGTTTTGACAACATTTTGGCGTAGCCCGTATGGGACTGGTTCCTGATCGCAGATCATATCACGTTGGGTGACTGCATCTCGGACAACAGGGTCCGTCGTGGTAAATCTACTGGACGGCAGTTACTCCACAAAACATGGAGACCGTATGAGAGTCAGTACTTCAAAGTCCGCTACGTTCTATTTATAAATTTGTTAATTTTTTTATGGTTTTATCGACATAGCCTACTAGCAAATTTGTAACTTACAAGGTTATTTTTTGTAATAGGGAGTTTGAAAGTGTCCAGAAACGTAAGTCAGAAAAATTTATGCGTAAAATCATTTGTGTTATGTTCATTTTAAAACCGACCATCCTTTTTGCGCCACCCTGTAAATTCTCCCTACCAGGTCAGTACACTATTTCATATTGATAAGGTGTTAGCTCTGGTCGCCATCTCATAACTTTGTCGTTCTTGATTTTGCTTGTATGCCTCTTGTCCAAAAATAAACGATAAAGCTTGCTGATCTGTGTATAATCTGAAGTCTCTTCCGATAAGAAATGGTTTCCTTTTTCGAAGGGCTTCGCCAATGGCAATGGCTTCTTTTTCAACAGCTGAAAACAGATTTGTTTAGAGTCCGTGAGAAAAAAGCAATTGGCTGATTATCTTGACTCAAAGTTGCTGCCACGGCTATGTCAGATGCGTCAGTCTCCACTACCAGTGGCTCTTGCCCATTCCTAGGAGTAATTACTGACTTTGCGATGTCAAGTTTGAGGGCTTCAAAATCTGCAACCGCTTCCTTTGACAAAGGAAAAGAATTGACTTGTGTCAGGTTTCTTATTTTATCAGAAAACCGATGTATCCATTTTGAATAGTGAGCGAAAAATCCTAGGACTCGCTTTAGTGAAACTTGGTCTTTGGGCACAGGAAGTGACAGTAGAGATTCTAGCCGATCTGGATCAGGGCGAATAGAGTTATGGGAAACTAAATGTCCCAACAAAGTTATTGAAGACTGGTTGAACTTGCTCTTTTTATTGTTGATTACAGGTCCATACTTAGTTACAGCATCTAAAAATGTTAGATTCTCATCATGATCCTTTTGATCCTTTCCACATACGGTCAAATCATCTAGATAGGCATATACTCCATTCAGTTTTTCTTTTCTAATGATTTGGTCCATGGTCTTTTGAAAACAAGCCACCCCCGTTGGTTACACCAAATGGGATTCTTCTGAATTGAAAAAGACGACCAGCAGCCTCAAAAGCAGTGTACTTCTTCTCTTCGTCAGAAATTCGTATTTGATAGTATGCTTGCTTTAGATCAATGGCACTAAAAACCTTGTTCGTCGCTACAGTGGATACTAGATCATCTATGTTTGGTAAGGGATAGGCGTCTAAAAGAGTAAATTTGTTTATCGTTTGCGAATAGTCTACACACATTCGCTTCTTCCCTTTGTCGTTTTTAACAACCAACACTTGTGCACGCCAAGGTGACGAACTAGGTTCAATGATCTCCTCAGTCTGTAGTCTTTCCATTTCTTGTTTTATAAATTGCATGTCTTCATCTGAGTAACGTCGTGATTTTGTGGCTATCGGCTTACTTCACTGTACCAACTAACTGCTATTGCCTCTGTGTAGTGGGAGAGCTGTGTTCTGGGACATCAAGAACCGTCTACCAAGATCTACCACCACCATACAATGGGAAAACAGTTTTGTCAGTGTCTACTCAAAGGACAACCCCAATCTCTTGTTCAACATGAGTGGATTTGAGTGTCGCATCTTGCCTAAGGTATGTTCTGGTTTTAAACTGTTTATATAACTAATGCTTGAATATTTTCTACCAATAATCATGTAAATGTTGAAATGGTTTTTAAAATCTTTAATTTTTGTTATGTACTTTTACTCAATGTGATTGCTTAACTTGTTGCATTCATTTTTATGAGTACCTTCAACAAGATGTTTTAATTAGGCCTACATTACATAGGCAACGAGGATTTTAGTTTTACATTTATTGTGTACAGTGTGATAAAGTGAATTGGAAAAGTTTTTTTTTCTTTTTTATTAACTTGTACACTTGCAAATCTTGCATTAGTAAAACTCATAGCCTGGACATGAAATCCACAAGAGAGGTATGAAACTATCAGAAACTAGTTCATATCTCTCATTATCAACTATCATCTTAATTACTTGCCTTAAAGCCCCTGTCACACGGAGCTGCTTTTTTTAATGCTAGTAACTAGCAGCTAGAACCAGCATAAAACCAGCATCGTGTGACTGATTCTCCAGCTGCTATAAACACTCGCATGGTATCTCTAGCCGCTGAAGGGTTTAAACAGTATACTACAATATAATATTACAAGCGCTTGAAAAGTCACTAGCAGGTCATGTGACCATCCAGCTGTGGTCTCTAGCGCCATTCCAGCTCCGTCTGACAGTATCGTGCTAGTTCTCGCAATAAGATAAAATCAAATCATTTAGATTAATTTAATACATTCAAACTAATCAAGAACGAGCTTAAAACTTCACGTTTAGAAATTTTTTAATGAATTGCCGTAATTTTCTCGTTGTTACGATTGCTACATCTCACCTATATTAACTAAATGAATGTGTTTTTTTTTTGTGTTGAAGAAAGAATAGATAAATAACTTTTTTTATATGCCTACCACAAATTATTCAATTTTAATTTGTTATTTTACATGCCTGTAGTAGATACAAAATAATAGAATTAATATATTACCTAACTTTTTTTTCCTTGCCCTCTTTTACTTCTATGATGGCTGATCATAGACAAAACATCATACTAATACCAACGGACGACATTTTTATTGTCAACTACACACCCAGTCCCAATTACATCACCAGACTTGTAAGTTGAAGCGCTAGTTCTCCAGCTTCGTCTGACAGAACTTCTAGCACGCTGGAGAACTAGCAACTAAAGCTACTGGATCTCGCAGCGAGAACTAGCTGCTGAAACAAGCTCTGTGTGACAGGGGCTAAGATTTGTCATTAGATTCCAGTACTTTTTCATACAGTGTGGTTATGTTCAACTACAAGCTAAGGCTACATAACAACAAAGATGATACCTAGCTCATCAGCTACCTGGCATTTTGCCATTTAACTCAATTTATCATACATTGTGAATGTTGATAAATTATTTTAAATTTACCTTTTTCATAAAGTAAGGGTGGTTGAATAATGTTTCCTCTGGTGGTTGCAGTGCCGCACAACCCATGAAGAGTTCACCCACAGAGACGGAGTGTGGAACCTTCAAAACGAGGTGACCAAGGAGCGAACGGCTCAGTGTTTCCTCAGAGTGGATGACGAGAGTCTGCAGAGATTTCACAACAGAGTGCGTCAGATCCTCATGGCCAGTGGTTCTACTACATTCACAAAGGTCAACAGTCTATCTCAACTGTATCATATTTTAAACGTAAAACTTTTTTTAAGTATTAAAAATACAATAAAAAGTAGGTACATGTGTCGAATCCGAATCTCAAATCCACCAAATCCTAAGAAAAGATTCGCATTTGAGATTCAATTAACGAGATTCGGACAGAATACACTTGCCTTAAGCTCTGTAATAACTAGGGGTCTGCGGTACAGAAAATTTAAGGTTGGTGGTACAGGGCTACCGTTATTTATTATTTTTTTTCTATTTTCTTCTCAGAATTGTATTTAAACCAATATTTTAAATTTAATACATTGACATTACTATGAAAATGGATAGTATCGTACATTCATGGTTTTCTAACAACAATTACAATCCATAAATTATTAAAACCTTTATTCCTAACAGTATTGTGTTAGGAACACACTTAAAATGACTTTACCTATGTTATTTACTAAGATAAGGCATATCCATGATAAAGAAGTTTTTAAAATTAAGTTAACAGTTTTTAGGAATAAATATTATGTTTGAAACAACAATTTGATCAGATGGTTTAATAACTACTGGTAAATTATTTCTAACTAGGTCTAAACACAATATCGGGGTGTTCCTTTTATCTAAGGCTCAATTCAATTTTCTTATTTTAAAGCTTTTCCAAAGAATCAAAACACCTTATTCCAGGCCTAGATTTTATTATTTAGGGTGTCCCGTAAGTAAACAGCCAAACTCCGAGAAATGGTTCTATGGGTCAAAATAAAGAGAAAATCAAGAATAACATTTTTTTCCTCACTCCGTAACGAAAGTAACTATTTTCGATAACAGCTGACATCAATGAAAGTAGTCGTTTCCCAAGCTCTAATTTAGGGCGAGGGAAAATCGATCAGCTGATTTTCCCTCGCTCTCAATTAGTTCTCCGCTAGTGTTTTGTTATGGTTTAATTTAATGATTTGAATAACCTGTATGTATTGTTAAAAGATGTTTTATTCTTTTATTTTCATGTTTAAACCAAATTTATTGAGAAATACACGTAGGTTTTCTTTTAGAAGTTTTTATTTTATTTTGATGTTCAATCAAATGAATTGAGAAATAAAATAGTTGTAATATTACTGAGGTCTGCTAATCTGTGTTTGTGTATTTTTGCGTCGTGATGAAAAGTATCGTTCATAATTCTTACCGAAAGTTATTATCCGGCACTTGCTCCATTATTCCCGTCCTCGGCTTCGCCTCGCACGTGAAATTGGGGTTCCCTGTGTTCAGCTTTGCCTCACACAAAAACTTGAGCGCGCGACGGAAAATTCCACTTTCAGTCCTAGTAATGAAATATACTATTCCAAAATCGCTTCGTTAACCAGATATCCGCCATTTTGTATTTTTTACATAAACATTTTTATTAGGGATGGGCCGATTCCGATTCTCGATACCTCGATACCTTCGATACCAGTGGTATCGAAGAATCGCCGATACTCGATATTTCGCTTCATTGTACTCGATACCGATTCTGAAAAGTGAGGTTAATCATAATGCTAAACTCAACTGACATTGAAGGGTGTAAAGAGTGGCAAATCATAGTTTATTTGGAATAATCTGAAGTCAGCTAATATAAATAATTGAAAGTTCATTATCTCACATTCATAATAGTTTTATAATCCAAAATAGATTGCCTTTGCAATTCACAACGAGTAGCAATGACGGTATGGTATGACGAGCTGTGTTCAGTTGACATGACAACAGTGTCAATTAACAGAACTCTAGTTGCCGCCATGTTGTCAGATCAAAGGCAATGTTGCCAGATAGTACAAACATTTAATATATACATATAATACACATAAGGTGTATATAGTCAATGGTACTAGTTTAACTCGCATTTTCTAACTCCAAATTGTGGCATAGCTTATAATTTTTTGTGAAAGTGTGGCATGGCTTATAACTGATTATAAGCTATGGAACAAATTCACGATTATAAGCTATGACATTATAAGATATGAGACCCCACGAACCGTTCAGCTAATTCAGGGCTTCATGGTGACTATTGTAGAAAGCCATTTAGCGGTGTATTTTTATCGTTATTTTATGTTGTTTCTCTCTGACTGAACTGAAACAGCTGTCATGAGTTTGCAAATGGCATGAATTGTTAAACATATGTTTTGGTTTTGTTTTTGTTGTTTGTTTTCTGTGCATGCATAGTAAGTTGTTCAAAATGGATTATGTATGATTATGATCTCCGACTCCGGACTCCGTTCTAGTGATGTGACGAACTCCATGACTTTTTTATATGATTCTTTAAGTGATATTGTTTTTAGGAAAAAGCATTTAGCTTGGATTAGATAAATAAATATAGGATGGAGAGGACACAGCTAACTCACCTGATGAAAGGTTGCAGATGAGTCAAAGAACACATAAAATCACACACATAATTTACTTAATATTTCGCCTCTTTCAGAGGCTTCTTCAGAAGTAGGCCTAGATGGTTTCTGATTTCTGATCGCCTAAATCGCCTAATTTCAGAACCGAAAGACCGTACACAATACCAAACCCAACTTCTAAAAGCCTTCGAAAACCGAGGCTATCCTAGCCCTCTCGTAAAATCTCAGATCCAAGCGGCTCAGAACCCACGTCCAACTACAAAGAAAAATACCAACCATCTTCAAGTAAATTTGATAACCACTTACCAGCCTGGCCTGCAACAACTAAACAACCTCCTCAAAACAGGTTTCAAAATCCTAGAGTCCTCCAGCCAAACCAAAAACCTCCTTTCAAGAGCCCCTTCCATAATCTATAGGCAACCCCCAAATTTGAGGAATATGCTAGTCCACCCAAAACTCCCAAATCCATCAAAAATACCATCTGAGAAACCAAGACCGGGCTCATACCCATGCAATGAAAACCGATGTAAATCTTGCCAGATACATCATCCTACAGAAACTTTTACCAGCACATACCATAATAAAAATTACAGAATCCAAGGCCATCATACCTGCAGCTCAGAGAACCTTATCTACCAGCTTCAATGTTCACATTGTCCAGCCCAGTACATAGGCCTAACAACCGAGACTCTCCGAAAACGCATGAACGGCCATCGACATGATGTTAAAACTAGCAAAGAAAAACCAGTTGCACAACATGCCTTATCCCACCAACTTCTATTTGATGACTGTTTCACCATAAAAGCTCTAAAATCATTGCCAAAGAACCAATGCAATAGTTCAATGCTCAGAAGATGGGAATTAGCTTACCAGTTTGTGACCAACTCCAGAACCCCACCTAACCTCAACATTAGATAATATCCTCATATCCTCACCCTCACAGCTAACTCTTAAGTATTTATTTTCATGGACAAAACTAATTTGCTTTTCAATGTACATATTATACAGGGTGTTGAAAATGTCTGGAACCAACATTATATCTCGTGAGTGGTTAAAGAAAAACAACTGATATTTTGTGTACGGATATACTATGGTTTTACCTATCTTTTGGTGCCTTATGAAAATTTTTACCACTTATAGGGAACGTCCTGTGGAGGATGCAGTAAAAAGTTTTAATGGAAGCCTATGGTAAATGATACATCATTTTAAAGGCCATTTTTTTCTGAGTAAGGAGCCTCAAGTTTCATTTCAAAAGGACCACCCTAGCAAAAATGGCGACTGTTTGAAATTTAAAAAACCACTTATAGGGAACGGAATTTTTAAATTTCAAACAGTCGCCATTTTCGCTAGGGTGGTCCTTTTGAGATGAAACTTGTGGCTCCTTACGCAGAAAAAAAATGGCCTTTAAAATGATGTATCATTTACCATAGGCTTCCATTAAAACTTTTTACCGCATCCTCCACAGAACGTTCCCTATAAGTGGTTTTTAAAATTTCAAACAGTCGCCATTTTCGCTAGGGTGGTCCTTTTGAGATGAAACTTGTGTCTCCTTACTCAGAAAAAAATGGTCTTTAAAATGATGTATCATTTACCATAGGCTTCCATTAAAACTTTTTACTGCATCCTCCACAGGACGTTCCCTATAAGTGGTAAAAATTTTCATAAGGCACCAAAAGATAGGTAAAACCATGGTATATCCGTACACAAAATATCAGTTGTTTTTCTTTAACCACTCACCAGATATGATGTTGGTTCCAGACATTTTCAACACCCTGTATGTAAATACAATATTGTAATGTGCCTGTATTTAGTGCTCTGTGCAGTGTCAGTTGGACAACCTGTCAGACATTTTGAATTCAAACTGTGTCATCCTATTTAAACTGTTGTTTTGTAACTACCATCTAGGCCTACTTCTGAAGAAGCCTCTGAAAGAGGCGAAATATTAAGTAAATTATGTGTGTGATTTTATGTGTTCTTTGACTCATCTGCAACCTTTCATCAGGTGAGTTAGCTGTGTCCTCTCCATCCTATATTTATTTATTTAAGTGATATTGATGATGACAATATTGAAGATGACTTTGAGTTTATAACCCAAGCAATATGGAACATTCATTGTAGGCCTAGATGTACGAATTATGAATTCTTATGAAAAACAAAAACTCTGTGAACATTTTAGGCCAACCTAAATTGGTGATTGTGCTCAATTTAATTTAATAAAATATGTAGGGGTGGGCGAGTAGTGATTTTTCAATTCGAGTCGAGTCGAGTATTTGAGGAAAAACTCGAGTATCGAGTCGAGTCGAGTAGTTGCGCGTTAAGTAGGCCTAGGCCCAGGGTTTATGCTGCGTTAGTATTTTTAGCATCTTGCTATTCACAACTTAAAAATGCTAAGTTTACATTGTTTTGCAGGCTAGGCCTATGGCAAATTTTCTACAAATAAAATTGAAAGATGTAATGTTCAAACAAATGTAATATTAGCCTACAGGAATTTTTTGTTTTAAATGCTTAAGTTATTGAATAATATTTTTTCTACAGTTAGGCCTAACTTAGTTTTTGTCTTTGCAGAGAGTTTGCAGCATTTTGCTGAAACAAATTTCATCCTAGCCTAAACCCTGCCTTGGCCTAAATAGGTAGTTTAAGTAC